TGTAAAATTTGATGACTCTTCCTCACTCATCTTTTTTGAACTTTCTTCACCATCACACCTTTTCCTGGATACTCTCTCCTCTGTGAGTTGTTTTTTGTTTGTTTGCTTTGTTGTTTAGCAACGGCTTTCTTCTGTTTGGGGTCTGCGGCCACCTTTGACCTCAGGTCTTCCTGACTCTAAGTACAGTGCCCTCTCCACTAATACCACCTAGATGCCATCTAGACATGGCAGGAGCATGAGAGGAAAAAGTCACTCATCCTCTTTGATCAAGTAGCCTTATCTGAAAAATGATGGGATTAGACTAAATGAGTTAACATACACAAAAGCACATTGCAAAAATTTTGCTGTGTTCAGTCGTGTCTGACTCTTCATGACCCCATTTGGGATTTTCTTGGCAGAGATACTGGAGTGGTTTGCCATTTTCCCCTCTCCAGCTCATTTTACAGATGAGGAAACTGAGGCACACAGAGTGAAGTGACTTCTCCAGGATCACACAGCTAGGAAGTATCTGAGGTGGGATTTGAACTCAGGTCTTCCTAAATCCAGGCCCAGTGCTCTATCCTGGGGCACCTAGCTGCCCTTAAAACCTTAAAGCTCTAGGAACAGGATAATGAGGAAAATTATTGGACGATGGACACCTCAATGATTCTCTCAGGTGTAGATGATTCCAGGCTAGGGTTCAGTGATTAGGGAAGTTTAGAAAGTGTACAGACACTTAAGACAAAGGTCTCTTGTATCCAGTCCAGAGCTGGAACCCTCAGGAAGGTAACAGAGGTTCAGCCCACATCTGCTGGCCTAGGCATCAGAGTGAATCATGCTTTAAAAGCTCTGAACAACTTGTGTGCAGGGGTGAGGGGTAAGACTAAGCCTAGAAATTCCAGTAGCCTAATTTACATAACACTGTTCGGTTATGACTGTTACACACCTTATCTCATTGGGTCTTTCCATATCCAGCGAGGTATGCCTTTCAAATATTATCCTCAGGGGCAGCTAGATGGCGCAGTGGATAGAGTACTGGCCTTGGATTCAGGAGGTCCTGAGTTCAAATCCGGTCTCAGACACATAACACTTACTAGCTGTGTGACCCTGGGCAAGTCACTTAACCCCATTGCCTAACCAAACAAAACAAAACAAAAAAAAGAAAATGCAGATATTATCCTCATTTTACAGACAATGAAATTGAGGCTCAGAAAGTATCTGAGACCAGGCTGTGGTCACACAGAGGGTAAAATGGCAGAATCTGGAACTGTTATGAAGGCCAGGTCGTCCAACCCTTACTTACACAAGAATCCTATCAATACCCTTGACAAGGAGTCACCCAGATGCTGCTTGAGGAGTTCTCTTGTTGGGGAGCCCACTAGCTCTTGAGGCAGCTGATTTAACTAATTAGGAACTTTTTTTCATGCCTCAAGCCTAAATCTGCCTCATTGTTCTCAGGTCTTTTTGGCCCCTTCAGGGCCAAACAGAACTATCTTAATTTCACCTCTTCATGAAGAATCCCTTAAAGCATTTGAAGACAGTTGTCATGCTTTAACCATACCTTTTCTGGACCCCTCTGTTTCCCTCTCTGCTCTTCTTTTCTCCAGGCTAAACATTCCCAGGTCCTTCAACTTCTCCTTGCATGGCATGGCCACATGGGTCATAACCATCCTGGTTGCCTTCTCTAGACACTCTCCACTTTATCAATGCTGTTCTTACATTGGGGTGCCCCAAACAGAACATAATATTCCAGAGGTGGTTGGATCTGGGCACAGTAGAGGGCCACTCTCACCTCTCTTGTTCTATCATGATGCTTCTCTTAATGCAGTTTAGGTTAACATTAGCTTTTTAGTTGCCATCACATCATATCAAGGTTCAATGCTTTCATTTTGTTAAATATAAGTCTACCTTTTTTTCCATAGGAACTGTTATTTAGCCATGATTCCATCTTATAGTATAAATTTGATTTTTGAACCCAAGTATATCACTTGACATTTATTTCTACCAGTTTCCATCTTAATTTCACCCAGCATTCTAGCTTGTCAGTCTTTAGTGATCTTGACTTTGCCCACCTCACTAAGTACTTTTTCCAGTTTTGCAATCACATCAAATTTGATAAGCATATCATCTTCAGAAAAGCCACTCAGAAAAAACATCCAATAGCCCAGGGCAAAACCAGTTCCATAGGTCACTCAACTGGAGATCTTCTTCCAAAAGATGACAAGAAACAGTCTTTGGGTTTGGTCATTTGGCCAGTTCAAAATCCACCTGACTACATTATTATCTAGCCCATATCTTCACATCTTGTCCAAAGAAAAGCATGAGACTTGGTGAAAATGCTTTGTTAAAACCTAGGTAAACTGTATCTGTAGAGTTCCCCCAAGTCTAGTGACATTTCCAAAAAAATGAACAGATTGGACAGCCATGATCTGTTCTTGACTAAGCCCAACAGAGCCTCCCTGTCTAGATATTCAGAAATCATCCCTTTAGTAATCACATTCCAGAACTTTGTGCTAAATACTGAAGTTTAGCTCGCCAGTCGAGACTTTGGAGGCTCTGCTTTCTTCCCTTTTTGAAAATTAGGGTAATTGTTCTTCTCCAGCCTTGGAGCATCTCTCCCCTTCTTCCAGTTGTTTCAAAGATGTTTGACACTGAGTCTGCAGCCACTCCTCTCAACTTTTCACTGTCTCCAGATGCAACTCACCTGCCCCAGAGAACTTGTACTCACTTAGGGCAACTGGGTGCTCTCTTTCCATTCCCTTATTTATTTTGACTAGGTCCAGGGCTCCTGCTGCCTCTCTGTATAATCCTTGCTCTCCTCAGTGAGTCTCTCCATCTTTCAGAATCTACAACAAGCATTTTTTCTAGGGAAAGCAGCTGGCAAAAAGGGGAGGGCAGAAAGAGGGGAGCAGACCCAGAAAGGAGTTTGGAACTCCAGAAATTTGTGCAACAAGAAAGTTCTAAAAGTTTTTACCCTGAAACAGGTAATACTGATACATACATACATATATGTATATATATACACACACACACACACACACACACACATATATACATATATATACACATATATACATATATGTATGTGTGTATGTAGGTATGTGTATATGTGTATATATATATGTATGTATGTGTATATATATATATATATGTATGTATGTATAACTATGAGACAGAAATGCTTCTGGCTTGGAAACATAGAAGTTTTTAATGGACTTGAAGACGTTGAACTATACTGTGTTGAGAAATAAAACTTAATAAGGTTTTTTTAATAGAGTTTAAAATCAACCTCTAGAGCTAAACATACCACATTCCTGCCTCCATAGCTATTACACATCAAATCCGTACCAAGCCCTCTACAAGAGGGTTACACATTACATCAGCAAGAAGCACGAAGTTAGTAGATTCCTGTTTAGCTTGAAAAATGACCTTTTTTGGTGGCTTCTATTTAAGTTATGCCTCCCCCTCCCCTTTTCTTTGTTCACTTATAACCTATCCCACACAATTACATAATCTGTGCCATATACTCAGAGCCCTTCCTACTCAATCTATTCCCATTCAGACATGCACACTTCCCACCTTACAATGCAGTAGTTTAGCACAAACAAACTTTTATGATGTGATGACAGGGCCTTCCAAGGGACTGGAGTTGCTTTAATCAATATTTACAAGGTCCTTTCAATTGTTGCCTTTGTGGTAAACGCTCTACATCTCCTCTTCTCCTTGGTTGTCTGACTTCTATCCCACACTTTGCTCATTGAGAAATCTACTTTCATTTGGATACTACCACCACCACCACCATTATCATCATTACCACTAACCCCACCCTCCACTGAACCCAGTATATGTGCAGGAAAACAAAAGAAGGGCTGAGAGCTAATGGAACTAGTAGGCAGTATGATGTAACAGAGAGAGTCCTAGATTTGGGAAAACCTGAGTTCAAATCCTGACTCTTATTTATTACCCAAGTGACCTTGAGCAAATTACCAAACCTCCCTAGTTCACAATTTCACATATAAAATGGTGGGGTTGGATTGTTGTTGTTTGGTTATTTGAGTCATGTCTGACTCTTCATGACCCCATTTGGGGTTTTATTGGCAAAGATACTTGAGTGGTTTGCCATTTCCTTTTCTGGCTCATTTTACAGATGAGATGCTAAGGCAAACAGGACTAAATGACTTGCCCAGGGTCACGTAGCTAGTAAGTGTCTGAGGCTGGATTTGAACTCATGAAGATGAGTCTTCCTAACTCCAGGCGTGGCACTATCCATTGCATCATCTAGCTGCCCTGGCTTTGGGCTAGATGGCCTCTGAAGTCCTTTCAAGATCTTATATCTATTATCATCTCATGATCTTGTCTCAGTTAATCTAAGAAAGTGAAAAAAAAATTTTAAATGTAATCAAATAAAGAATAGGGTTTTGTTTTGTTTTGTTTTTTTTAAAAGAAGCTAACAAGCATGAAACTATAATCTCATCATTGTAGCTCCCTTCCCTGATCTAGGCTGCAAGGTGGCCACATCTTCTCATTCTGCACAATTTTTATCCGTGTCTTTCTGTATTTGAGGAAGCATAGCGGCTAGAGGACCAGTCTCTGCTACAGGAAGTCCTGAGGTTAAGCCTCTCACCTCTGACACATACTGACTGTGTGACTATAGACAAGGCATTTAAGTTCTTAGTGGTGAACCTGGGCCACTAAGACAACCAGCAGAGCAATGCCAACCTGCGTTGGTAGAATGAGATTCTTTCATTGGAGTTTCCTATGCCAATAAAATCACAAGTCCAGTTTAAAAAACCAATCTTCCTTTAAGTCTTACATAGAGGATCTAGCCAGGGCATTAGAGGCCTTTGTCTGGTTCTTTTAAATGTTTGGTAAATAGCATCACAGTGTTCAAATTGTCTATCTGGTCTCCTTATTCTTCCCATGTGACCACAGCCTCCAGCTTAGCACAGACAGAGGTCCTCTCCAACAAATAAAAATCCCCAAAGTCAAAAGGAAAGCAATTGGATCATATTGACACTTACCCCTCCTCAGAATGACGGAAAGCAGATGAACTTGGGGGATCTCTGTGGCTCCCCGGTACTGTTCCACTGTTCTCATTGTCACTCAAATAGCCTTTTCCCAGCGATTTCTTATTATAAGCAAAGGCTGTAGGGTCTGCTTCATACCCATTCAGCGCGCCATGACCAGCTCTACTCTCTGAACTCTCCTGCTGATATCCATCATATCTATCCTCATGGGGTGCTGGAGGATTGCGAGATAATTTGTATCCATGTGAAATTAGGAGATCCTCCACACTGTACATGGTGCACTGGTGTCTGTCAAAGCTCAGCCATTGGAAACCTCTCTCGGGCAGGATCCGTCACTGAGAGGAAAAATAAAAAAGCTCCGTTTGCAAGGAGTCTTTCTTCCCACATGAAATGCTGAGTTGTATCTGACCCCATGGCATCCTTCTACTTATTCCAATTGAAAACCATGCCACAGACTAAGCAATAGAACATAATATGGGTACAAAGGACGAACTACATGTTGGTCTACTCAAGACTACTCCTGATTGTGTTCAGCCAGGGAGGACAGATATATCATAGGTGCTGATTTACCAATTGCACTGAATAATTCTTCAATAACCATAGTTATGATAGCTGTCCAATAAGCATATTTATTAAGCCCCTTCTGGGTACTAGGCATGGGAATACCAAGACAGGATGAAACTCTCTTGCTCTCAATGGTTTTACAGCCAATGGCATGAAACAACATGTCGACAGAAAATTACATACAAAATATAGACCCAATGAATACAAAGTAATTTCTGGGGAGGCAAGTACTAGCAACTGGGGAGGGGATGATAGATAAATTTCCTGTCAGAGGTGGCATGTGAGCAGAGTTTTGAAGGTAACTAGGGATTCCAGGATGCAGAGGTGAGGAGAGAGAGCATTCCAGTCAGAGGAGATGGCCTGTGAAAAAACGTTTTTGCATAAGACAATAGATCAGATGTCCTATACAAGCATCATAAAATAGTCCAGTTTGACTTGGATGTAGAGTGTCAGGAGAGTTATGTCCAAGAAGCCTAGAAAGAGAACCTAGAAGTGCATTATAAAGGGTTTTAAATGCCAAACAGAAGAGTTTGCATTTTATCCTAAAGGCAATCAGAAGCTACTAAAGATTTGGTTGTTGGCCTTCATTTTTGAAGAGGACCAAAATGACATCATTATGTTAGAGTCAAGTTACCAAGTGCCCAACTGTGACTAAAGAGTCATGAAGAGAGGAATGACATGCTCAGATCTGTGCTTTGGGGATAGTAATTTGGCAGTGATGTAGAGAGGCAGGAAGACCAACTAGGAGACCACTTCAATAATCCAGGTAAGCAGTGATGAAAGCCTAAACTGGGATGATGGCTGTAAGTAGAGAGAGAATGAATGATCAGAATAATCTCTAAAACTGTAGACCTTGGAATTAAGCATTTAGGACAACAAGGGCTGTTGGAAGTCTGGGAGGAGGCCAGTCTTAAATATATCTGAAGAAATAAGATGGTTAACAAACAGGTAGGGCTAAATCCTCAACCCACTACTCCATGGCCTACCCACCTAATAAACAGTCATAAGGAATAAGGACAAAATAAAGGCAGAGTTTAAAGCTTAAATTACAGCTTTATAGTTTCTAAAATGGGAAACTGCCAATGTCCTGTTTAATCTCAGCATATCCCATTGCTTTCATCAGATACCTTTTGCCCTAGGAGTGCCAAGTGAGATCTTTAATCAAGTAAGCATGATTGTCTCCTCTGAAGTATATATCTAAACTCTGACTGCAAGGAATCCCACCACATGGCAGTTAACTGGCATCTGAAAATAGCTTCTCAGCCTTAAGGCTTATAATAAGGAAAACACAGTAAACATCACACTCTCAGAAATATACTCTTTCCCCAAACTATTAGATAGTCTGAGCCTTCTCCTTTCCACCAGGAGACTCCTAACAATCAAATTTCTTCCCAGTGGGTCATGGGGAACTGTAGAGAATCTTAAAACCAAAGTCTTGGTCTATGTCCCAAAAGTGAGTTGTTCTATCAGTATACCAATAACAGTAGCTTCTAGAGCAAATTTCCTGGAGGCAAGACATACCATATGAAAGAAAGGGGGGAGGGAGGAATACAGGGAAGGAGAAAAGGAGGAAGGAGAGGGAGAAAGACAAAGAGGCAAAGAAAGAGAGAGAGAGAGAAAGAGAGAAGGAAGGGAAAGAAAGGGGAAACAGAAAAGAAAGGGAAAGAGAAGGGAGGAAAGAAGGAAGAGAAAGAAAGGAAGAAAGAAGGAAGGAAAGAAGATAAAGAAAGAAAAGAAGGAAGAAAGAACAAAGAAAGAAAGAAAGGAGGGAAGGAAGGAAGGAAGGAAGGAAGGAAGGAAGAACGAAAGAAAGGCTTTCAGAAACTACAACATGGGAAGTTAGGTGAGGTTGTCGTAAAGCTTCTTATTTAAGTAAAAAGCAGCCAGACTCAGATTAATTGCAGTTACCAATCTTGGTTCTAAAGAACAGATAATGAAATACTATATCCATCTCAATGGAGAGATGAGGATCTTTGGGTCTGAAATGTTGCATATTCTGTCAAATAGTAATTTTGTCAAAAGAGAGAGCTTCATGGATGTGGAGGTTGCATATAAGGAAATTACATATAAAAAACAGAACAGAACTTTTTTAAAATAAATTTTCTTGATTAAACCCAAAGGCTTTTTTTTTTCATTTTTTTAAAGTCTCCTATTTACCCCAGGGTACAGATGAAGCGGGTCATCTTGGCTGGGCTAACAGACACCACAATCCACTCCTGCCTCTGCAGGAGTCACATCTGGGCCTTGGGAGCGGCGCATTGAGCTGGCCCTTAGACATACTTTGCTGAGGGATGGAAATAGATTCCACTGCAGGCATCATAAACAATAGTCAGGAAATGCCGCTGGACAGCTTGCAGGTGAAAGGAAGACATGTGTGCTTCCTGTTCACAGCAGTTTTTGTTCACTTCCAGCTCCCAGTTCTGCTGACACTAACAGGATCCCTGCTTTCAAGTACTGAAGTACAGTAGCAAGAACACCAGAAGCTAACTGTGTCTCACCAGGCTTTGACACAGAGTCTGTATTTTCATCCAGCTCAAAGTCCAACGTTTCCCATTAATTAGTTGTTGTCCATATGGGGCAACTGACAAGAAGGGAGCGATCTTTCACTCTTAGGTCCTAAGTGGTCAAATATTCCATCAAAGATCCCCCTGGCTGGACAGACCCAGGCACATCTCAATGCCACTGAAATTATTTCAGGGACAAGCTGCTAGGAAAGGAAAAAGTGTCCCTCAGTACAAGGAACCAGAAAGCCCTTTGGGGATGAAGTTGGGACACATTTCCTTTAAGAGTACTGAAATGAAGGCTAAAGAGTTTTGATAAAGGTCAGCAAGCAGCTAAGTTGTACAAAAAGACGACACTACAGCCAAATACTCCTGCCAAAAGCCCACATCCATAACCATTTGGAACTATGTGAGAAGAGCCAACAAGCCGTTTATACCCTTTGACCCTCTCTGTGATTAAAGGCAAGGAAAATCACGTTTCCATAGAAAACAGCACTTTCTGTGATGGTAAAGAACTAGAAATAAAGTGGGTGCCCACTAATTTTGAAAAGGCTGAACAAATTGTAGTATGGTAAATTCAATTAATAGTTATTTAAATTTTAAGTAATATTTCTGTGCAAGATCAGGGATAGGGAATACACTTGTGGTATCATCAGTGAAGGGGAACTCCCAGATGAGGAAACGGAGCTCAATTTATAATCTTAAAGAGTTGCCCATCACACCAAGATGGTGACTTACCCAAGGTCCCACTGCCAGTCTGTGTCAGCAGACGGGAACATGAGGAATTTAGAGAAAGATGGAAAGACTTGTATAAAGTGATGTTCAGCAATATACACAATCATTATGATAATTAACCCCCCAAAAAAAACACTAAAAAAAGCAGAACTCTGGGGGCAGCTAGGTGGTGCAGTGGATAGAGCACTGGCCCTGTAGTCAGGAGGACCTGAGTTCAAATCCGGCCTCAGACCAAATATTTGTCATTTACTAGCTGTGTGACCCTGGGCAAGTCACTTAACCCCAAATGCCTCACCAAAAAAAAAAAAAAAAAGCAGAACTCTGAATAACTATAATCACCAATCTCAATCCCAGATAATTGATGATAAAGGGAAGGTTAACTGGGTAAGGGTCTTGAGTACAAACTAACGGCAAAAATAATTTTTAAAAAACAAGGAGTAGCTGGTCACACAATGAACAATTTTAAAATAATATTTTTTTCTCTTTAAGGAAAACCACGTGAAAGCGCATCACCATAGAAGTTGAAGGGAGAGTGGGACAGTGAGAAACCTGCTGAAGTCCGAAAGGAAGATGAACAGCATCTGAACTGAGGAAATGGGAAGGATGGGGCGACATGAAGAAATGGCAAAATTCCATTGTGAACTAGACACAGGAAGTTAAAAAAAAGTTCAGACAAGACGCCATTTGGTAGTCATGCTACGACGAAAAAATTGGGATAAGGAATTTCCAGAGATGCAACAGGAGAATGCAGAAAAGCAAGGATGCTACATCCAGCTTCAGATGAGTACCAGATCCCCCCAAAATGATACTGGTTTACATTTCAATGGATTACAGTTTACCAAAAAACCCAAAACAAAACAAAAACCCCTCTCAATTTTCTTAATCCTCATTTGATACTCATAATAACCTCATGAGGTAGGTAGGAACAGTATTATCCTCATTCACAAATGAAGAAACCAAGGTGCAAAAAAATGTAATTGATTCTCCAAGCAATAGCTAGTCATGACAGAACTAGAACTAAAAGCAGAAGTCTCTGCACTCTAAGTCACCAATACTCTTTTGGGGGGGGTATCTTTTTTAAAATAATATTTTATTTTCCCCCAATTACATGTAAAAATAATTTTAACATTGTTTTTAAGTTTTGAGTTCCAAATTCTATCCCTGCCTCCCTTTGATTCTCCCTCCCTGAGACAGTAAAGCACACTAATATACTCTTTTCCTTACATCATGAGATATCTCTAAATAGTTCCATGTATTCCTGATCCGGAGTTTATAGTAAATTTAGAGCTGGAAGAGATCTTACAGACCATCTAGAGTCCAACCTCCCCTTATTTCACAGATGAAGAACTGAGTTCCAGAAAGGGTAAATGTCATGTAGATAGCAAGCATCAAATGTGATTTAAACCTGGGTTATCTGACTACAAATCTAGCTCACTTTCCACACTGGCTTTTCATTGGCTAGCTGTGAATTACCACATATCAGATAAAGTCTCTAACAGATATGTGCCTTTATAGCCATCAAGAAGATTGACTCA